TTAACACGTCCATCAATCCGTCTGACCATCCAGGCTGAATAAATATCTTTAAAGTTTGAATGCAGCACAAATGCCAAAGTCAGTGACTGAAATCACATTTGCCTAAAGCCATGTCTGCCGTGGAGATTTTGATCAGCTGTTACTTCACTCAGTTCTTTGGTCTGTTGCAGTAAATAACAACTTAACTAAATGTGTTAAGTTTTGGTATGGATGTGCTGTGAATTTAATAGCATTGACATATGACTGATGTTTGGAGAGATATTTACTTTTGGACATATTTTTGCACTTTTGTGCTCTTACAAAAGTGTAAAATCCCTTTTTAAGATTTTGTTATGATCTTTTCAAGGGGAAGTGTGTTTTATACTTTATGTGATCTATGCTAAAAGATGTAGAATGAAACATAATTACGTACAGATCAAATAGCACTTAGCAAAGGAACAGCAGTGTCTCTCCTGCAGCCTATATTCAGTCTCCACTATTTTCATTACTTTCTGCATCTCATGAGTTCATCAGATTAGCTGTGGTGTGTTGTGGTAGGAATATATGAACAAAGAAAGTGTTGTAATGAAACCGAAGTTGTTAAAACATTATAAGCATTTAAAATGAAATAGCCATTGCTTGTAAATATGTCCAACCCTTGAAGTCCCCAAACTCATAGTTGTAGTTTCATGTGGTTTAAATTCTGTAAACCAAATCTCCTAATAAAATCTCCTAATGATCACCTTTTGCTACCCAATCATTAATCGATTAAGCTAAAAAGAAATCAACAGATCAGCTCAACGCTGTATTGATAAGTCCAGCAGAAAGGGCTGAACTTTTCACATGTTGATGTTTGAAGTATTTTTCAGCTGCAGATGCATCCTTTGCTGCAAATAATCAAGTGTTGACTAAATAAATTCTGTATTGTTGCATTATTAGCAATGAAATGTATATTTTTTACTTTGAAAAATAAATGTAATTATTAGTTTATTTTCATCTCATAATGTATTTCTAATAGTCTACAGTTATTTTTATCTCTGAGTTTATACTTATATATATATATATATATATATATATATGTGTGTGTGTGTGTGTATAAATGAAGACGGAACAAAATACAAAGCACATTAAGCTCCTTAATCGTCCCAGCTTTCAGAAGCACTTGTGGGCCTGTGAGAGGAATCTGTCACAGCTACGAAAAGTGGGACAAAGAACTGCCAGTCACAAAAGAACAGGGGGGGACCAAAAAAAAAATTCAGTCCCCCAAATTTGTCAGGCCTGACTTGAACTAACGATGGGCGAGATTCCTGTAGAGATCCTCCCCGTAGCAGAAGACTGTAAGTCTCTGTAGCCTTGAACAGAGAATGTGGTGGGTGTGAGCCGAGTCTGACAGCTTCCAGCCAAGCCTGCAGCGTCATGTTTCTCCACAGATTGTAGACGAGCGGCTCTGCTGTCATGCGGACTCCTTTTACAAGTGAAAATACTTAGATCAGAGGGCGATGGCAGCTCAGCTGGAACTGTCTGAGAAACCCCCTGCCCCACTTGCTGCCTATCTGCTGGGCTGACCACCCTGAGATATCTCCCAAAACACAATTTCAGGAGGCTGACTCCACAATGAGATCTTGTAAGGGATATTTAACTTATTTTTTTCTTACTTCTTTTGCTTACTCGGTTTCCAGGTGAACACAACGCAGTCTTGGTGCAGCCCAAACGCTGCTTTATCTCACTGACAGAGGAGTGGCTGAGGCAGATGATAGATGAGACGCATAAGCCAGGGCTGAATTGTATGGGTGTGAGGCTTGCTTAAAATTCAAAATGGGGAACATCAGAGCAAAGCTGTCAAGCGATGTGGAGGAGTCGAGATAATACAGAAGCGAGAGAGAGAAAAAGAAGGTAACTCTGTTGAAACATCAAGAAATCCAGCTGATTTGAAGTAAGCCCAGCTGTCTGAGAGTTTGAAAACAGAAAGCAGAGGAGAAAGATGGAGATTCAAATGTGCTGGTGATTTGTCTTGTTTTCAACACCTTATTCTGCTCTAGAGGGCTTTTTGCTTTTCATTTTGAATTCGCATCATCGATAATCGATGTCGATAATAGCAACAGTCTTTAGTGGAGCACTGACTGAAATTTCTGTAGAGAAGTCTGGATGTGTAGTTGAAACCAAGAGTGATGGGATAGGGAGTGATGCACTTCAGTGGAACAGGCTTCTGCTGGTGCAGAATTATGATGCATGTCTCACTTCAATTACGCAAAAACTTGAAGACATTTGAAATCTATCGGATATGTATCCGATTTAGTGGAAATGATATAAATCGTATATTTTTGAGTGAAAAGATCGGAATTGGGTTGTTTAGTCTGCCCTGAGAAAATCAGCTATGTGCCACATATTGGCCAAAAAAATCACATTTGAACCACATTTGCATACAGTGTGAACACTTCCTGCTGGCTGACAGGAAGTGTTAACCAACTTCCTGTTGTCAGACAGGTTCTCTCTAAATAAATAAATAAAAGTATGAACTCCAGGGCCACATAGAGGTCAATGTCATGATTATAAAATCCTCCACTGTTCAGCTGCAGAAATATCTGCAAAGCCTTTTCTGAAGCAACAAAACACAAAGCTGGATATTATCACACACTTTATGTTCTTTATGCTGATTTAATTACAGTCCGCAGCTCCAATAAGCCTAATCATAATTCAACAAATGCAAAAGCATTTTTCTTTTTTTTTTATGCAGATTTGTCCTCCAGACTCTTGTTAAAGTAAACAGCAAACCAGGGAGGTGAAGGGAGGTGAATCATTTCCCAACCTGCAGAAATTGCATGCTAAAGCTGGCATGTTGTGTATTGTAGCCTCTATGTTTTACATCAAAACCAGGGTCCAGCTGGCAGCGATCAGAAACAATAGCAATGAAAAGGAGCGACAAGAATTCATCCTTTTGATAAGATTCTCTCAAACACACCTACTGCCGGAAATGCCAGTAAATGTCATCTGTCTGTTTTAGGCTTGACAACATACACAGAGACATTCTCGTTTCTTTTTTTTTTTTTTTTCCCTGTCTCACCTTCAAACCCAGCTGGAAGGACGAACAACAGAAAATCACGGTTTGAATGAGTCACAGGGAATTGAACCAGCTGTGTCTTTCACACTGGATAAAATTGGGAACGGTGAAAGGATACAAAGATATTCTTCATCCCTAGGTCATGTATCTTTGTAGGAAGGCCATAACAACGTGACTTGGTTTTGTCATTCTTTTTTTTTTTTGATATTAAGTCAATCAGTTTTTATTGTGCTGCAGAAATAAGCCAAAATATTGACCATAGTGACATCAATCATGTAACATTTTGTGATTTCAGCCCAACAAAAATTTGAGCATCTGATTTGATGCTGAAATTTGAAAAATATTATTCATTTATTGTCCAGCTCCAATTTCACCATATGTAATCCAAATGAAAATGGAAGCAAGTCTTGTCTTCAACACTGCTTGAAACTACTCTCATGCCTTGCAGAAATCTCCAAACGTCGATATATCTGAGCAAATCTGAGTGTTGGCAGATCTCACTGGATGACCTCTGTTTGACCATCAGCTATAGGATTTTGATGACTGACACACTGGCTGTAAATATTGATTTAAATTGTGTAGCAGCTGCAGAAGATATCGGCAGGTAGGCTGCTAAATTTACAGTAAAAGAATAGAAACGTTCAAGCATGCACAACATGCAACATGTGCTTCTTTTCTGATTCTGTGAAGTGTAGGCGCATGACCAGGCTCACACCCTCCAAGGCTGCCAGGACCTGCGAGAACCACTAACATGATGGGAATAGACTGATACCAGGTCTGTTTTTTTTTTCCACGGAAGTCTTGTTCAATATAAAGGTCAGCAGTGCAAAGCTATTTTTGAGGAGGGGGAAAAAAATCACACCCACGGCTTTGGGAATACTAGGAGAAATGTCTAGAGAGATCAGAAACCATTTCGTTGTCACTGACCGATGCACTCACAAACACTTCTATACACTCAGATATATCACATCAGACACAAAGAGATGGAGGAGTGTGCAGAAGGAAGAAAAATGCCGTTCCAGTTCAGCAGTCAAGTGCCTCGCCGCTCTGGCTTCTCAAATTGACAATTTTCTCAAACTGTTATCCAGAAAGATGAGGGAGCTTCCTTTATATGTGCCTGAAGCGACGGCTCTGCGGACAAGTAAGCAGGTATTTACTCACAAATGAGGCACGCACACTTTCACAAGTCCTGGACGGAAATGAAACCAGTTGAATAAGATCTCGCAGCTGGAAAGAGGACAGCTCATCAGTAAGATGTGGAGACCAATTACGTTTTAATTCACAATATAATTTAAAGTGTGAAAATCTCGCTGCATGAAACCAGGAATCTAAAACCACAGTAATAAGGCTTATTGAGCAAGTAAAAATTGAATAAAAAGACTCTTGCTACCTCTAGTGGCTTTTTTTGGAAGGTTTCATCATTCATTCATGTATTTTTTTTTTTTTTTATAAACTGGAAAAATAATTCTAAAATATTTAAAAAAGTAGTAAGTAGTATTTATTTTTTTGTTTTTTATTGTCATGAACAAAAACATAAAAAGAAAATATAAAGTAAGTTTACTCTGGGACAAACACCTGGTGAGAGTACTTCGTCACCAGCTTCGTCTTCTATCGCAAATTACTGCGTTAGAAGAGTCAGAAATGTCTCGGTCTTATGAAACCATTGCTCATGTAACAAATTAATAGTCAGCAATGGTTTTCCTGAGCCAGCTGTAAACACAACACGAGCGCCAAGATGCTTGGTGCTCAGGTTTTAAACCTGTGCGGCAGCTTCGTCTCACTCAGGTCAAGGTGACCTGTTAACGAGCTTAACAAGATATATTTATATATATCCTGAAATATTTGGAAAAGTACAATAGTAAATGACAAAATTCCAAAACCAAACTCTACAAGCCCAGATCCCGACAGTATCTTTGTTTTTGCTACAAAAAAGGACAACATGACAATTTATTTGCATGCTTGTAATTATTATTAATATAAGACATGTCACCATCGTGATAGAAAGAAGTTCTTTCACTTGTCTTGCATGCATCAGGCTTTTTCTTCTGTGTGGATTCGCTGATGACGCTTCAGGCCTGAAGAATTTCTGAATCTTTTCTCACACTGACTGCAGCTATAAGGCTTTTCACCAGTGTGGCTTCGCTGATGACACTTCAGGTCATAAGAATTTCTGAATCTTTTCTCACACTGACTGCAGCTATAAGGCTTTTCACCAGTGTGGCTTCGCTGATGACACTTCAGGTCTGAAGAATATCTGAATCTCTTCTCACACTGACTGCAGCTATAAGGCTTTTCACCGGTGTGGATTCGCTGATGACTCTTCAGGCCTGAAGAACATCTGAATCTCTTCTCACACTGACTGCAGCTATAAGGCTTCTCACCAGTGTGGCTTCGCTGATGACACTTCAGGTCATAAGAATATCTGAATCTCTTCTCACACTGACTGCAGCTATAAGACTTTTCACCAGTGTGGCTTTGCTGATGATACTTCAGGCCTGAAGAATTTCTGAATCTCTTCTCACACTGACTGCAGCTATGAGGCTTTTCACCAGTGTGGCTTCGCTGATGACACTTCAGGATTGAAGAATTTCTGAATCTTTTCTCACACTGACTGCAGCTATAAGGCTTCTCACCAGTGTGGCTTCGCTGATGACACTTCAGGTCTGAAGAATATCTGAATCTTTTCTCACACTGACTGCAGCTATGAGGCTTTTCACCGGTGTGGATTCGCTGATGACACTTCAGGTCTGAAGAATATCTGAATCTCTTTTCACACTGACTGCAGCTATGAGGCTTTTCACCAGTGTGGCTTCGCTGATGACGCTTCAGGTCTGAAGAACATCTGAATCTCTTTTCACACTGACTGCAGCTATGAGGCTTTTCACCAGTGTGGCTTCGCTGATGACGCTTCAGGTCTGAAGAAATTCTCTCTTCTCACACTGACTGCAGCTATAAGACTTTTCACCGTGTGGATTCGCTGATACTCTTCAGGCCTGAAGAACATCTGAATCTCTTCTCACACTGACTGCAGCTATAAGGCTTCTCACCAGTGTGGCTTCGCTGATGATACTTCAGGCCTGAAGAATTTCTGAATCTCTTCTCACACTGACTGCAGCTATAAGGCTTTTCACCAGTGTGGCTTCGCTGATGATACTTCAGGCCTGAAGAATTTCTGAATCTCTTCTCACACTGACTGCAGCTATAAGGCTTTTCACCAGTGTGGCTTCGCTGATGATACTTCAGGTCATAAGAATTTCTGAATCTCTTCTCACACTGACTGCAGCTATAAGGCTTCTCACCAGTGTGGCTTCGCTGATGACGCTTCAGGTCTGAAGAATCTGTGAATGTCTTCTCACACTGACTAAAGCTATAAGACTTTTCACCAGTGTGGATTCGCTGAAAAAGTACAATAGTAAAAAATTACAATAAGATTATTGTAAAATTTGTCAAATTTTATTGTACAATAATAAAATTTAGCAAAAGACATAACATAATTCAGCAGAAGCAGAATTGGAGAACAGATTATTGAAAAATAGGTTACTGTCACTGAAATTAAGCTGTACAGACACTCGAAAAATTGCCTTAGTAATAAATATTTAGCGTAAGGAAAAATCTAAAAGATGTTGCTGTGGATAATCAACGAATGTGTCAGAATTCTTTGATGGTTGTAAAATAGGTATGATGCATGATTCTGGAGAGAAAAAGGTGGAAAACCTTTTATATGTTGCTTTTAGCCCAAAACTATTTGTAAAACAAAACCCTCTTCTATAGTTAAATGTTTAGCAAAGTGACAAGTCATGTAACATTGCTCCAAAAAAGTGTTGTTTTTTTTATTGTCTGGACTGAAGGCAAAGATGGTTCTTTGGACTATAAAGAATACTGAGAGCAATTCAAAGAACCCAAATAAAAAAAAAATGTTTTTGAAGTGTGGCACGAAGCCAGAGTGCACAGAGAAACCTCATGCATGCACAGAGAGAACATTCAAACTAAATGCAGGAAAACTATTAAAAAAAAAAAAAAAAAAAAAAAAGTAGCACTCAGTTTCCCACAACTTTTAAAAACAAACCTCTTCTAGTGATGTCACTGTGCTGGTAACACCAGCCTTCTCTTCCAATAGACATTCCTCCATTTCAGTTCTGCGTAAAACAGACATGCATAATATGTAAAATAGAACTGACTTTATTTGCATAGCAGTGGCAATAGTTTTAGTTGAAACTAGATATTTATCCTGACTTCACTCATTATGATTTTAAAACAGTCTTAACTTCCAGCTTTATGTCAGCTAGCTTTACCAAAGTTAAATATTTTCCCTAATTACTCAGAAAAGTTCTCATTTCTGTTATTATTTTAAAAAGTTTTCATAAGCTAACTATCCAATTAAACAGATGCTTTGTAAACTCATTCATGTTAATAGTGATAAATGAGAATCAGAGATGATTTCTACTTTGCACATTTAATGACATGATTCTACATATAGTGCAAAGTGAATTATTAAACGTCAGTGTAAATTATTACAAATGTAAATTATAAAAAATAAGCCTTTACTTACAATTTATTTGACAGACCTCTGCAGGTGATCTTTGTCATATTTACATTTGACAGATGCTCTTATGGTTTCCAAGGTAGCATTGTTCAAAAGATTACAGCTCCATAAACATTTTAACTGTATATATTTTTTTAAAAAACCATTGAGCCATCTTAAGTAGTTTTATTTGCATAAGACTTAATATGACATTTCTGTATTAAAGATACTTTTTATTTGAAGTTCCAATGAAAATTAAAGGACAAATTAGGATGGGAAACCTTTTAATGTCATTGTCACTTCTGCCCTTTGACCAGCAGGTGGCATTATTAGTCAAAAATCAAATCCCAAAGCATCACCTCAAGAAATGTGCAGAAAAGTATTAGTAATGACACTTTTTTTTGTTGGAAAAAATACATTTTATTAAAGAAGTAGGGTGGATTTGCATTACTTTATGAGCTACCCAATGAATTTCCAAGACCAGACAACATACAAGTCCAGACCTCCAATTCAGTCAGGTTACACTCAGAGAAATGTCTGCGTCTTACCAAAGTATACCTGCTCTGATGTGGAGGGGCGAAATGTGGCGATAACCAAAAACCTGAAATATTTCCTCCACCTGCAGAAGTAAAAGGTTTGTCACCCAACAGCAGTGCTGTTGTACCGTTCGGCACCAAATGAACGGCTACTTTTGAGACATTGAAGAGAAACATGAGCTGTTTTTAAATCATGCCTGATGTCGGACCACGGCTCCCTCACTTCGTGATCTACATTCGAGATTATCTTGAATAAATGTAGCAGACCTAACTTAAATGCTCGAATATTACAGTGGGAATAGACCTGCTTGTGAAAAATAAGCTGTCCAAGTAAACATCTTCTGACAAATACTTATTTAGACATTGATTTTTTTTCTATGTAGAAATATGTACAATTTAAAAGAAATAGTTCCTGTGTCTTTTTTTTTTTGACAATTGTATTTAATGATAAGCCTCTGAGAAGGAAGAAACATTTATAGTTCAAAATGAAAAGGAAAGAAACATTTAAAATACAAATTAAGTCATTTCAGATTCCTTATTTGGTTGAAAACTATAAATAAATAAATTATGAAGACCATTTCAATGGATTAATTCTGCCCTTAGGTTCTCTGTAAATTTGAGGGGTATCACTTGTGTGTCTTAAATGTCATATGATTGTGAACAAGCTAAACTGAGAGTAATCAGCTTTTAAAAGGGCATACATCACTATTTTTTTTTTTAAATTGAGGAGAAATTCATTGTTCGGCTGTTTACTTCCATCTTTTCTGCACAGATTAAATTCTTCCATCAGTACAGACACTATGCTATCATCCACATTGACAATTATTTCCTATTTTGAATGAATTATTCAAGACTCTGTTAACGTGAGAAAAATATTCATAAAAGACTGAGCTGTCTTGACAAATAAAAAAATTTAAAGATCTGATTGTAATTGATGTTTCACACTTTAAATATATTATTTGCTGTGAGTCTGTAAATATGATGTACGCCCTTTTAAGGGAAAGTGAATATGATCGTAATAAAACATCCCAAGTTTGTTCCTTCAGCTTGGCTGGTTGCTTTTCTCCAAACTACTACAACTTTGTTTTGAAAAAACCAGATTTACTGAAGAATAGTACTAACAGTTAATAGATTGTATTATTTTAATAACCTCTATTAAAACAAAATGGAAAAGAAATGCACCTCAGATTCAAACTGGTCGCTCTCTAGTGGGAAGACAGAAAGCCACATGTGGATGTGTAGAGAAACTTCAACACAAACATACACTTTTGTTTTACACTATGTACAAACGTTGTGTGTTGGGACTGGACTTGGCAACCAGGCTGAGAAATAGTTTTCCCTCCTTTAGTAAGGCATGCCATGTGAAGACCTGGACAGCTCAGTCCGACGGCTGCGTCTTTCATTTCCTCATTCAAACTAAATCAATTTATTTTGTTTTTCTTTTCAGAATTCTCATTTCAAGTCCAGATCCTGTCAGGGTTGGTCTGCTCCAGATGCTTTTCCCCTTCGAGGCGTCTCCAGAGCAGTGGGCGGAGGTGGCGTGTGTGCGTGACGTCACTCCCCGGCCTGTGATGGGAAGCGTCGGCCGTTCCGAGCTGCTGTCCTCACGTCAGATGTTTGACAGACGTCGGCCTCTGGTGGCGCCCAGCGACGCCCGCAGCCTCGGCTCTCTGGCCCTGATGGAAATCCAATCAGGTAATTCAGAAAAGTGGCTTTGCTGCAGAAAATGTTGAGGTGAGAACACACATTTCTCCTCAACTAATCGACTATTGGGTGCTTTTTATTTTTCCCAATAGGGGGAAAAGAAAAATCTACCTAAAGTGTCCTGCTGTTGCTCTAAGAGCCCTTCAGCCTCACCTGACTCCACGCTCCTCTGTCGGTCAGTTGAAAAGGAAACACAAGTGAAATTAAAAATGAAAAAAAAAAGCTAGGTGTAAAACAGAGACTTCCCCACACTCCCTGATCCGTAAGGTGTTGTGTGTGACCTTGTTTCAATTAGGAGACAGAGCTGATTTCAAAGTCAATCAGCTGTAAACAGAGATTACTTTGAGTTTCAGCAGTCGGACCTGTAATGCTCGTTGAAATCCAGCCTGAAACTGAGGAAGCGCAGACTCTCGTCTGAACTGGTCATCAGCAGCACAAGGAACTGCTGGACGATGCTCTGAACAGATGGAAGCAGGAAGAAGACATTAGCTGCTGGATCAGCCAAACACGGAGTCGGATCTACGACGGGGAAAATCGGACAGAACCTGGTAGAAGTGGGTGAGGATACGAAGCTGGGATCGCATCTTCGGTATGGTGTCCTGAAACTCCTGAATCCGCCTCTTCTCTTCCGCTTCCTGTTCTGCCGTCACGCCCCACTCGCCCTGAACCAGCAGACAGACGTCAGTCCTGATGGGATGCTTCACTATTCAGTGCCACAAGGTTGTCATCTTTGCACATTTTCCTTTTTTTTTTTTCAAAGGGGAATATCTTCCCAAAGAAAGAGAGATCTGTGTGTGTTTCAGCTCATCTCCACATCTCACCTCCTCTTCCCTTTGCCGCTTCTTCTCCTCAAACTGCAGCCGCAGGGTGAGCTCCTCCAGCGCTGAGCGGTACAGCGAGTCCTGCGCATTTTGAAACTCGATAATTTGGTCAAATATGGCCCTCAGCTGGTTCAAAAGGGACTAGATGGAGAGATAAAAGCAGGAATGAGTCCAGTGAGTCAAAAGGGAAGGGAGATGAAGCAGAGTAGAAAACGCTGCGTCACCCTGCTGTTGTTGTCCAGCAGACATCTGGAGATGATGGTGTCCAGGAAGACATCGTGAGCAGCGATGATGTGGTCGAGGTCCTGGGCCTGCTGCACTTTGTTCCACAGCTCGTCCCATGAGCACTCCAGCACCTACACACCCACACACAGTTTATACGAGTCAACTTGGGCACTTAATATTTAAAACCCACTTAATGAACAGAGTAATTATTTTGAAGCAACATGTCCGTCTGCAGCTGCTGGTTTTCTGTCTTGCAGAGCATTGCGGTGGCAGCAGAGCTAATGGTCTGACCTCAAAGGTGATGTAGTACTGCATCTGGTGGATGAAGTGAACCATTTCAGAGGCCAGGATGTGACATTGGTGCAGCACACCAGAGAGCTCTGGAGGGCGAGGGAGGACAGGTACAGACAAATTACCCATGAAGTAAAAACAAGGTTAAATTCAGCAATTACATTAAAAAAAAAATTTAATCTAATGAATGTGATCATTTCCATCCTAATATTTTCTGAAGAGCAATATTCTTTACATGTACTTCATAATCTGTTTCAGTTATGTTTTCGGCTGCGTGTTTTTTTCCATTTACATTCGTTTTTGGTTATTTCGTTTACATTTTAGATTTTTAAAAAATGCCTTCCAGTTCCTGTGTTGAGTGTTCTTTGATCAAACTTTATTGGTCTTTGAGTGAGCAAACATGCAATACGTTACTTGGAAATGGTCTCAAAACAACAATATTATCATTCAATAATTTGAGTTTTAAAAACTAGTTTTATTTTTTTTATTTTTCTTAAATCAACAGTTAATATATGAGGGCATCAGTAAAGAGTAAAACGCATTAAAGCCTCAGGTAGTTTAACTCGTTTTATGTGCATATAAAGTGCTGACTGAATTCTTAATAAGCATCATCCTTCAAAACAAAGTGTAAAGGGTATTTGAGCAAGATGGCGCGTGTGTGTGGAATATACCAGGCATGGTTTTGAGCAGCTTGGCGTTGCACATCTGTCCCTTCCAGATGTCTGTCAGTGTGTACTCCATTCGCTTGGCTCTCCACAGGAAGTTAAACACTCTGAGGTAGTGACCCATACACTCTCTGGTGAACACCTGATGACCATAAAGAAATATATCTTAGAAGCAGGTTAACGTTTGGTCAATAAGTGATTTTCAGAGATGAGCGTTACTGTTGCAATGGGTCCATCAACGTGATAATCCAGACTGAAAACGTCCCAGCCCGTATCACCGGGAGACACCTGAAGCCAAAATGTAGACACAGCGCCACCTATCAGCAAGAATCTGAAACAAAATACTTGGATTTCTCATGATGAATATGCAGCAGTACCTCCAGCAGGCGAACGTCCAGCCTCTTTAGGATCTCTGCGTTGTCAAACTGCGCGTTGGTGGCCCTGACCGCCGTCTCCAGGATGCCCGTCAGGTTGTGTTGGTACAACGTGGTGGCGGGTCGGGCGAGCTCAGGTCTGCCAAGAAAACACACAGTTACACCCCTCATCCCGGCTGGTCGCTGGAACAGCTTAATTGTTTCAGAAGGCGAGGAAAATCAGACTTTAGCAGGTCCATGAGGTGCCTGATGAAGTCTCCCTGGCCCAGCAGCAGGTATCTCCTCATGGCCTGCAGGTGCTCCAGCAGCAGGTAGTTACGGTTCAGAACGTCCAGCAGGTATTTACTCGTGTCGAAGTAAGCCGCGTCAATTTTCTCCTGGAAAGCGCCTTCTAGGTCAGACAGCAGCTCCGCAGCTGCAGAAGAGTGAAAAGGAGAGTCAGATCTCAAAAATAGCAATATTTACTTATAAAAGCGCTTTC